CAGTGGGGTTCCTTGTTGTTTTGTTGATGGTTTCTTTTGCTGTGCAAAAGCTTTTTATTTTGATGTAGTCCCATTTGTTTATTTTCTCTTAACTTTAATTGTCCTAGGAGCAGTATCAGTGAAGAATTTCTTTTGGCATATGTCTGAGATTTTGCTGTCTGTGGATTCCTCTACTATTTTCATGGTTTCCCGTCTTATGTTTAAGTTCTGTATTAATTTTGAGTTTATTTTTGTGTATGGTGTAAGTTAGTGATCTAGTTTCATTTCTTTTGCTTGTATCTGTCCAATTTTCCCAATATCAATTATTGAAGAGATTGTCTTGACTCCGTTGTATGTTCATGCTTCTTTTGTCCAATATTAATTAATTAATAGTGGTTCGGGTTGATATATGGATTCTCTATTCCATTGGTCTATATTTCTGCTCTTGTGCCAGCACCAGGCTGTTTTGAGAACAGTGATTTTGTAATACAGCTTGAAAATCTGTATATTCTTCTTTCCCAGGATTGCTGTGGCTATTTGGGATTTTTTTTTTCCAGATTAATTTTTGGAGAGTTCTTTCTAGGTCTTTGAAATATGCCTTTGGTATTTTAATGGAGAGTGCATTGAATCTCTAGATTGCTTTGGGTAGTATGGACATTTTAATGATGTTGATTCTACCATTACATGAACATGGTATGTTCTTCCGTCTGTTTAAGTCTTCCTCTATCTCTTTTTTCAGGGTTGTGTAGTTTTCTGCATATAGGTCTTTTACCTCCTTAGTTAAGTTTATTCCTAGGAATCTTAATTTTTTGGTGAGATGGTAAATGGGGCTGCTTTTTTAGTCTCTCTTCCTGTAAGTTCACTATTGGTGTATAGAAATGCCATAGATATCTTGGCATTAATATTGTATCCTGCTACATTGCCAAATTCATTTATTAAGTCTAATAGCTTTCTGATGGAGTCTTTTGTTTTTTTATGTACAATATCATGTCATCTGCAAATAAGGACAGTTTTACTTCTTTTCCAGTTTGGATGCCTTTTATTTCTTCTTCCTGTCTAATTGCAATGGCTAGTACTTCCAGTACTGTGTCAAACAGGAGTAATGAGAGTGGGCATCCCTGTCTTGTTCCTCTTCTTAGGGGAAATGGTTTTAGTTTTTGCCCAATGAGTATGATATTAGCTGTGAGTTTATCATATATAGCTTTTATTATGTTGAGGTATGATCCTTCTATTCCCACCTTGTTAAGAGTTTTGATCAAGAAAGGGTGTTGGATTTTGTCAAATACTTTTTCTGCATCGATTTTGGTTTCATTTTTTAAGTTCTAATGAGTGGTTCCAGAAAGAGCTTAAGGTTTATTTTTTAAATGGGATATGGAAGGAGTTTAATTGATGTGTGCAGTTTTTTTGTTTTTGTTTTTTTGTTAATCTTCACCTGAGAATATTTCCCCCATTAATTTCTAAAGAGAGTGAAAGGGGAAGAGAGGGAGAGAGGGAAAGAAAGAGCGAGAGCGAGAGGAAAAGGGGGGGGGGGGAGAGGAAAAGAGAGGAGGGAGGACATCGATGTGAGAGATACCCATCGATTGGTTGCCTCCTGCTTCTGCACTGGCTGGGTCCGGGGGTTGAACCTGCAACCCAGGTACATGTCCTTCACCGGGAATTGGACCTGAGACCCTTTCACTCTAATGTTTGGGCCGATGCTCTAATCACTGAGCAAAAGCAGCTAGGTGATGTATGCATTTTTGAAGGAGCACGCAGCTTTCTCTTGAGTGACAGCCGGCTCTTACGCATGGCAGGTGCTGAAGAAATGTTGTAGCCCTCTTCGAAAAGCCGAGGACAGCCTGACTTTATGGAGGTGGAATGACTATCATTAACAACAACAAAAATGGCAATAAAAGCAGCCCAGCCACCTTGGCTGAACCCGTTGGCTGGGACGGACAGTTGACCTGACATTTTATCACCAGCATCTTGTTTTATCTTCACCCTGTTTACCAGGAGTCTGCTCCCTGCTGCCAGGGCTGGACTAACAGTGTCCTCCGGCAAACCCTTCCCATCCCAGGCCTGTTTATCCTCACTCACCCTGAGAGGCTGGGTGTGTCCCCCTCACAGCTGAGGGCGTGGAGTGGGAGGGGTCCAGCCGCTGGCCCAAGGCTGCCTGGTTGGAAGAGTGGGAAGGGGAGCGTCTGGATTTGAATGCGGGTCAGCCCACTACACCCCTGCTCTTCTCCGGGTCCACTTGCCTGATGCCTCCCCTCTCCCACAACTCAGGGATGATGCCCCGCCCTGGGTGGACCTCTGAGGACAGCTTTAAACTGAGATTGTGGGTCAGAGGGATTGTGATTCCTTTCTCTAGCTTTGTCCCCCAAACTTAAAATGATGTGTCACCTGGGGAAAAATAAAAATAAAAAACGGGCCTGCCTTGCACATCTGGTGCCTCACACGTTTGCCATGTGAAAACCACCTGTGGGCTTGCTGGAAAGCACTGTTTGCAAAGATAACAAGAAAGTAGATACTGTGACTTCCAGGCTGAGAGTGAACACATTATTGAGGATCAGCAGTGCTGTGTTGCCTTTTCTGCACCAAAAGCAACGTCTTCCTGCTGTGGATGGACTTGTCCTTCCCCTCACTCCCCTTTCTCATAAATGCCCACCTTGTCTCCTCGCCGGAACCGTTTGGGTCCTGCCTGCGCCAGTGCCTTTGGGATAGCGGTTCTCACTGATCTCCAGGAACTGCCGTTGCCTCTGACTTGGAAAAGCCCCTTCGTTTCTAGGTGACGACCTGGAATTCCGGCCCGGCTTCTGCGATGGGAAGGCAGAGCTTTCTGAGGGTGTTTTGCTGGAAAAGGGCTCTGCTCCTTCTGAGGCAGCGGGGCCGGCTCCGGGGAATGTCCCAAACCTCGAACCCTTCAGAGGTTGTGGAGGGGCCTCTGGGCTCTCCTGAAAGTGATGGCCATCGGTGGGTCACTTTAGAAATAACCTGGATTGGTTATCTATTGCTGAGTAACAAATTTTCCCCAAACTAATGGCCTAAAGCTCTCTGTGACCTCGCAGCTCCTGGGGGTCAGGTATCCAGGTGCCGTTGAGCTGGGGGCTCTGGGCCAGGGTCCCTCACAGGTTGTGGCCGTCAGGAGGCTCCACTAGGAAGGATCTTGCTGGGGGAGAGGGAGGAGTTGGCCCTGCTGGGGGGTTGAGCTTGCTGATGGGTGTGGCTTGCTGATGGGTGTGGCTTGCTGGTGGGTGTGGCTTGCTGGTGGGTGTGGCTTGCTGGGGAGGTTGGGGTTGCCAGCTGCTGGATGAAGGCTCCACTCAGGCCCTCATGAGCTGCTGGATGTGGCTTCCCTTCCTTTTCCTTCTTTGTCGAGAGGGCATCTCCATAGAGTATCTCGGGACACAGCAGCTGGCTTCGTCAGGGAGGGTGAGAGGGCGGAGGGGAGGGCGAGGGGGGAGAAGCTTCAAGATGGAAGTCACAATCTTGTAACCGAGTCTGGGCGGTGGCCTCCTGTCACCTTTGCCACTCTCTGTGGTAGAGGCATGGCTCCCCCACTCAGGGGAGGGCCGCGTGGTGATAAACCTGAACCGGACTGGACAAGGGCTCCTCAGAGTCCTGATTCCATTCAGTGTGACTATTTGAACGTTTTGCTGCAAAAAAAACTTATTGGGGTTTCTTTTGTGGGGCTGGCTGTCCCAAACTTTGCCAGAAGGGTTCTGTAATATACAGGTGACATGCTTTTAAAAATCTACAGCTTCCTAAATTCTCATACACATCTGACCTCACATCTGACCTCACAGGTTATCCCCAAGTGTGTCTGAGAGTGTGAGGCTGGGGTTTCCCAATGGTTTTATTGGATCGTGTGATGATCTTCTTATCACTCAACCTGGGAGTTTCTAATCTGTCTCGGGCTGCGCCGTGCTTGTGATGGGATCCATTCTGAGCCCGGGCCGAACTATGTTTGCAGTTTCAGAGGCCACTCATCCCGAGCCCACTGGAGGCCCATCGCTGCGATGATGTTCCCGCCAGCCCCGTCTCCGCCCTGGGGGTGCGGCATTTGACAGCGCGTGGCGACATTTATCCCCTTTAAACACCCACACAGAGGCTGATTTCCATAGGTTAAATGTCAAGCTGGAAGCCGTCCAGGGTGATTGAATCTTCGAGTGTTGTCCACTCGATTCTCAACCGAGGCCGCTGGCGGGGCCCTGCCGCTCTGTCAGGAGCCTGGGGTGCGGCCCAAATGACTGGGGTGGGTTGAGTGCAGGGCGGTGGGTGCGGGTACGCAGGAGCCCCACCCTCTGCTCCTCAGAGACAAACACAAACCGGCTTCCCAGGCTGCCGGCACAGGCACGCTCCTCCTCTGGGGCGGGAGGGCCACAGGCTTTCCCTGGGGCACCTTCCACCAGCTGGACGCACCCCCACCCCCTATTTGTAGGACCTGAGCTCAGCCAGGCAGGGACCAAGGGGTTGAAGCCCGCTGCCCAGAGGGGGAGGAGAGACGCTGATTGGCCAGCCCAGCCGCTGGGTTGCAATGGGGTGGTGGGCGCAGGTAAGCAGGGAGTTTTACACAGACCTCATGCGGAACCTCCTGTTCTAGAAGCCTCCGCTCCCCCATCACAGGCTGTTGACATTGCGGATCTCCTGGGAAAGGAGAGTCATCCCTCCTGAGGACAGGCCGGAGCGCCCAGTGCACAGCCTCATTACAGACAGCCGAGTGACGGGCTGGAAGCAGCATTAAAGGGCCTGGACAAACTCTTCAACATCAACTCACGTTATTTCCAAAAGCCATACCTTCACATCCCCAAGGCATCCACAGAAAGTTCAGAGAACCAATGCTGCCTTATTTATTGCGGTGGCCAAGGAGGAGTGTTAGGAGAATGTTCCGGAAGGGCGGCATTGATGGATTGACAATACCAGAGGGCCATTCTGTGTTCTCTGCAACACCCCACGAGCAGACTTGGAGGGAGCTTTCTCTCCTGGGCGAGGGCCGGAGCCTGGGGTCCCCCTGCGCTGCCCCGCGGCCGTCCCGGTGGGACTCAGTGGATGCCCTGCTTGGGCCAGCCGAGCTCGTTGGCAAACGTGCCCAAGCAGCTTTTGCTCTCCGCTCCGTACTCCAGGCACTTGTTCAGGCCCGGCACCCCGGACCGCCAGCCGATGAAGCCTTGGGTCGTCTTCGGAACCGGGGGCGAGGGAAGGACCTGGGAGGGAGACACAGGGTCAGTCACCTGGGCCGTGGCTGGAGGAGGCCCATGGAGGCGCCCGGAGGCCCGGGACCCGGGGCGCCCGGTGTGGGAGGATGGCAGGCAGGGCCCGGGTCTGGGAGGCTGAGGCCCAGCCCGGTGCAGCGCCGCAGTCATGCCACCAAACACGCTTCTGCAGCTGGTTTGACTCATGGCCGCCAGCGCATGCTTTTTATTTTATGAAAGAGCACACAGCGGGAAGAGTGAGGTGCAGAAATATCAAACCCCGCCCTTCATAAAATCTATGACGATACTGCCAGATGGGTTTTGGGTAGGTCTAAACCTTCCGGCTTTGATTAGAAGGGTTTATGATGTGAGTATAACACACACACACACACACACACACACACACACACACACACGACCACAGGAATGAAAAGCAATTGAACTTAATTAAAATCCGAAAGGAAACCCCCCACACCGTTTCATTTGTCACTGCCTTGGACAGACTTGAATTTGGGGACATGCGGGCAAATGTTTCGGCAGTCCCCTCTCCCTGTGAAGCCGTTGTCTGGCCTGCTCTCCCGGGTGATCTGAGTGGAGAAAACAGTGAGAAATGTGTTCCAGCAGAAGCACTGAGAGGGAGAGGTTTAATATGCGGGGGTTATGAGTTCATGCTTGGCTACGGCATCTTGGCGAGGCGTGGCAGGAGGGGCGGTCCTGCTGGGCCAGCCGCCGCTGGTGGAGGAAGGCCCTCAACGTATGCTCTTGGTGAAGTATTAAAGTTAATCTCCTGAGAGGCCACAAGCAGGGAGGGTCATCATACATGCCAGAGGGAGAGTCTGCCGCAGCCAGCGGGGTGTGCCCAAATGACTGGGGTGCTGGGTCTATGGCGGTCGGTGCGGGTACGGAGGAGCTGTCCCAGAAAGGCCCTTGGAAACATGCAGACCTGCCTTCAAGCCTCTCTCCAACGGGTAAGAGAAACACAGCTGAAAACCTACCTCGGTTGCAGGCTCCATCCCTGGCCCAGACTGGGGGGCTGTGAGGGAGGCAACCAATTGATGCATCTCTCACATCAATGTTTCTCTCTGCCTCTCCCCCTCCCTTTTGCTCTCTCTCTCAAAAAAAAAAAAAATCAATAGAAACATATCCTCGTGTGAGGATTAATAATGAAAAACAAATAAAAAAACACAACACCAAAAGCTATCCAGGAGGCCACATTTCACCACCAGATTGGCAAAGAAATGAAAACAGCACCTTCACAAGGGCCTCCTGGGAGAGAAGACTAGTTCATTCTCTGTGAAGGGCCATGTTGCCATTGTCTACCGAGCGGCTGCCTTCACCCTGAGTTTTCATTTCTTCCCATCAGGACCCAGAGCTGATTTCTCTGCAGCTGAGGAGAGGGCAGAACCCAAGACGAGAATGATGGGCCCATGACAAGAGGTTCAGGGACCTACGGAGCTGAGCAATTTCTCGTCTCTGACCCGCCTCCAGGGCTGACTGGCCTCGGTGGGAACACCCTCAGTTCTTCCCTCTGGGATGGTCTGTCCTGGCACTCACCAGCAACCAGAGTGAGCTCACCGCCCTGCTTTCCACTCAGATTGGGTGCAAATTCTGACTGCTTCCTCTGGTACCAAATTCTGACTGCTTCCTCTGGTACCACCTGTCCACCCATACCCTTTCCCGCCCCACCCCTACCCACCCAGCTCACCAAGCTCCCGCCACACCAACATCCCTTGCTGCTCCTGAAACATTTCAACCTTTGTTGTGCCTCAGGACTTCCTTCCGTACATGCTGTTCCCTTTGCCCAGAATGCTTTTTCCTGGGCTGGCTCCTTGTCATTCTTCAGTCAGAGGGTTTTCTGACCACCATACCCTCTGTATCCCCCAACATCACCTGCCTATTTCCTCAATGGCATCTAGCACAGAGTATAACATGACCCCAACCCACATGTGTGAGCTAGAGTCTTGCCTTCTAGTTCATCACTGTTTGCCCACCCAAGCACCTGGCCCTCCTCACAGCTTACGGTCACCGGCACTCTCTGAAAATGCTGGGCACAGGCCTAAGTCCTTCCCAGCATCCTCCTCTGGGCCTGACACCATCCCTGAAGAAGGTGCTTTCACGAGCCCCCATTGTGCAAGGAGGAAATAGAGACAGAGAGAGGCCAAGCCACTTGCCCAAGATCACCAGGAGGTGAATGGCTGAGTGACCTGACTCCAGAGCCCAGCCTTTCCTGCCCTGCTTCCCTGCGCTCCCTAAAAGTGTTAGATGGAGCTCCTCATTTCTTGGCTCCCCTCTGCCTCTTCAGAGCGGAATGCAGAGGCTCTCAGAGTGTAGAGACAGCAACCTGATATGTGGGTGTGGAGAGGTCGTGGAGAGGGCGTGGAGAGGGTGTGGAGAGGGGGGTGGAGAGGGTGTGGAGAAGGCGAGCAGGGGCATGGAGAGGGTGTGGAGAGGGCGTGCAGAGGGGTAGAGAGGGCGTGGAGAGGGGTGAAGAGGGGTGGAGAGGGGTGGAGAGGGGTGGAGAGGGCGTGGGGAGGGCATGGAGAAGGTGTGGAGGGGGTGTGTAGAGGGTGTGGAGAGGGCGTGGAGAGAGGTGGAGAGGGCGTGGAGAGGGGTGGAGAGGAATGGAGAGGGCATGGAGAGGGTGTGTAGAGGGTGTGTAGAGGGTGTGGAGAGGGTGTGGAGAGGGTGTGTAGAGGGTGTGTAGAGGTGTGGAGAGGGTGTGGAGAGGGGTGGAGAGGGCATGGAGGGGGTGTGTAGAGGGTGTTGAGAGGGCGTGGAGAGAGGTGGAGAGGGCGTGAAGAGGGGGTGGAGAGGGTGTGGAGAGGGCACGGAGAGGGGTGAAGAGGGGTGGAGAGGGGTGGAGAGGGCGTGGAGAAGGCGTGGAGAGGGGTGAAGAGGGGTGGAGAGGGGTGGAGAGGGCGTGGAGAGGGCGTGGAGAGGGGTGAAGAGGGGTGGAGAGGGTGTGGAGAGGGGTGGAGAGGGCGTGGGGAGGGCATGGAGAAGGTGTGGAGGGGGTGTGTAGAGGGTGTGGAGAGGGCGTGGAGAGAGGTGGAGAGGGCATGGAGAGGGTGTGGAGAGGGCATGGGGAGGGCGTGGAGAGGGCATGGGGAGGGAATGGAGAAGGTGTGGAGGGGGCGTGCAGAGGGCACTCCCCACCTGCCAGGAACTGCTGAGTCCTGGCCTTTGGTGGCTGGCTTTGTACCCCTGCACCCAACTCATGCTCTAGTGGGGCCAATTTCTCCCTCAGGGAAGCAAGTATTTAAAAACAATGTTGCAAACCTTGATATATTTCTCCACGGGGGTCACTGCCCGGATGTGGAACCTCCGGGGCAGCTGGATCTTGGGCTTTGGGGTGGGGGTTTCCTCTTCACACTCGATCAACTGAAACACAATCCCAGAGACAGGAAACCCCAGACTGAGACGGTGGACGTGTCCTCTCAGTCGGCCCCTGGAAGCCCGCATTTTACAGATGACAAAGCTCGTTCCCATTGCAGCTAGAAAGGGGCAGCGGGCCCTGCAGGCAGCTAACGGCGGTGCACAGCGCACGGCTCGCCCTGCAGTCTGCTAATCGATATTCCTGAGCAGTAATGTGAGGGGACTATAAGGATTATGGGCTCCAATTAAAAAATGCCTATCAGGTTCAGGACCAACCTTTAAAATATCAGAGAAGAGCCACCCATTCCTCCTATTAATTTTTGTTGTTGTTAATCCTCACTAGAGGATATTTTTTCAATTGATTTTTCAGGGAGAATGGGATGGAGGAAGGGAGGGAGGAGAAGAGAAAAAGAGAGAGGAACATTGATTAGAGAGATAGATTGACTGGTTGCCTTCCTCACATGCCCCAACCTGCAACCCAGGTACGTGCTCTTGACTGGGAATTGAACCTGAGACCCTTCGGTGCTCAGGTCAACATTCTAACCACTGAGCAACACTGGGCAGGGACCCCATTTAATTTTTAAAGCAATTTTGAGCTCTTCAAGAATCCAATTTAAATTACATATAAATAACATTAATATAGGCTCTTTTTAATACATATTATATTAATAAGAACTCATTTTGCCCTAGCTGGTTTGGCTCAGTGGATGGAGTGTCAGCCTGTGGACCAAAGGGTCTCAGGCTGGATTCTGGTCAAGGACATGTATCTTGGCTGCAGGCTCCTCCCCGGCCGGAGCCCTGGTCAGGGCCCGTGCAGGAGGCCACCAATCGATGTGTTTCTCTCACATCGATGTTTCTCTCTGTCTTTCCCTCTTCCACTCTCTCTAAAGAAGAAAATCAATGGAAAAGTATCCTTTCCACTGGCAAGGATTAATAATAACAAAAAACCCTCATTTTATGCATAAAATTTCAAATTGTACAATACTCTTAAGCATTCAACCAGCTCATGAAGAATGGCATAATTCCAAAGCTAGTGGGATGGCACAAGTTCCAAATGGGGTTGACACCACCTTGACTCGGGATTCTTCCTAGTTAGGTGGCGCTTATTTGGTTCGGCGACCCTCCAAAGACCTGTGGCTTCCTCGTGCCAGAGCTGGAGATGGCTCAACAGGGTGCAGACTGGTGGCCCCACTTCACGGAGCCCACACCTCACGGAGCATTTGGTGGGCCTGCGTGGTGTTTTGTAAATCTAAGCCACTATTCCAGACTTAGAAGGTTTTATTTAAACATCCGGATTTCTGGACTTGACCAGCTGGAATGAGCAGTTGGCCTCTCTCATGGTAGCACTCCTTTGGGCGGACGGTGGCTGAGTCTGGACAGGGACAGTGGCTCTTTGCTGGAATCCCTGCCAGTTCCTATTAATTATGGTGCCCGGCCCTCTTCCAATTTGTTTCTTGTCTTGTTTAGGACACACCGAGACATTTTCCCTATAATCCCCCACCTGTTAACTCTGCTCACCATCTCATTCCGTCAGGGCACGTGAGGACAATGACCCCATTTCACGGATGGCAAGTCTGAGGCCACGTGGTGCCTGCCGGACCTCAGCTTCTCCCTCGATGCTCCTCTTTATTAGCTGTGTGACTTAGCCCTTCTTTATGCTCAGCTTCCAAATTTGTAAAAGGGGCATAAACAAGCAACTGTCTGAACAGGGGTGGTTGTGTGGGTTAATGCACTGTTTCAGAGGCAGCACCTAGGACCTGCCTGGCACATGGTAAGTGCTCGATAAATTCAGGAAGGGAAGGACCCTTCAGGTCTCAGAGGTGGCAGTCTTTGCCTACCACACGCTCTTTAATTTTATTCTTGCAAATCCTATACTTCATAACAAGTTATTCTTGGAAATGATCAATTCTATTACCTCTGGACTCATAAAATGTATATTTACCTCCTCGAGAGGGGTTGTTAAAAATCCCCAGTTCTGGGCCCAGTTTTGCTGTGCTTCGCTCTCAGCCTTCAGGCGGTATCTCCTAAAAAAGAAAGTTCCCAAAGGCTGGACACTATTCAGAGAGGTTAAAGTTGCCAATCCCAAAAGGCTCAGGGGGGAATTTCACATTTGTCAATGTGCAGGCACAGAATGAGGTTCTGTGCCAGGAGGGATCCCGTCACTGAGACCCTCACAGGACCGTGAGGAAGACGCGTGCCTGGAGAGCCAGAGAGGCTGGCTGGACGGCACAATGGGTGCAGACAGGAAAGGGGCTGATAGCCTCAGGGGCCATCTGGGTACTTATTTTGGAGGCCTTGTGACCCACAGTGATGAGCATGTGTTAAATCATTAAGGAAGTTCATAGTAAGTACCTCCATTCTCAGGGCAATGACTGGGATGGGGTGAGGAAGGCACCTGGGGTGCAAAATGTAAGGAGGCACCCACTCCCAAGTTCCTGCAAGGGCACAGCCAGCACTTACGTGACCTTGAGCTTGAACCCTCCTTAAACATCACACCTCAGCTGCCTCACTGGTCCCATCCTGCTTTTACTTCACATGAAGAAGCTGAGTTGACAGTACAAAATGGTGGCGGATTAAGTGGAAGCTATATTGACACTATCCTAGGACCAAACTGGAATTTCAACTAAAATACAGAAAAACCATCCTGAATAATCAACTGAAGACTAGATGAAGTGAACCTTGATAACCAAGGATGGAAAATGGAGTCCCCATAGACTGGTAGGAAATTTGGAAGTGCAAAAGGGCTGGCCAGGCTCCAATAGACAGAGCCGAAGTCTCTAAGATATCTCAGCTGTTGGGGGTTCCACTGAGAACTCTTGGGTCTAAATCCCAAGCTGGACTCCACAGCCCAGAACACCAAACTGAGAAAGGTGCCCACATCACATCTGGCCGTGGAAAGCAGGGGGTTGCTGTTTGCCAAGGAGAGACAGCTGGCACCCTCTTAAAGTACCAATCACAGAATTTCATGTGCAGCCACTCACCCTGGGCTCTAGCAGAGGGAGGAGAGAGTGGATTAGAGCGGTGTGAGGAGCATCCAGAGTTTAGGGCTCTGGGGTTAGAGCTCAGAAGGCAGCTACTATGGATTCCTGTGCTGACTCATTCCCTCATACTGCAGAAAACATTTTTTTGGGGGCAGACCTTTACCATCCAGGCAGCTTTTTCTTGGGGGACAGGGTAAGAAATTTCCCCACCCTGTTGGAAAACCTCTCACCCACCCAGTGGTGTTTCTGAGGCTCATTTTTCCTCATGAAAGAAAAACTCATGCAAGTTTAAGAGGCACACAGAGTCCCAAGTAAGAAGAACCCAAACAGGCCCATGCCCAGACACATAATTAAAATGCCATAAATTAAAGACAAAGAGGGAATCTTAAGGGCAGCAAGAGAAAAGCAAACTGTTACCTACAAAGGAGCTCCCATAAGGTGGTCAGCTGATTTTGTATGAAAAACTGTATAGGCCAGAAAGGAATGGCATGAAATATTCAGGGTAATGAAAAGTAAGGATCTGAAACCAAGATTACTATATCTAGCAAGACTATAATTCAAAATAGATGGTGAAATAAAGAGCTTCCCAGACAGAAAAAAAAAAAGGCTAAAGGAGTTTATCACCACCAAACCAGCACTGTAAGAAATACAAAAGGGACTGTTGTAATAAGAAGAATAGAAAGAAAAAGAGACATAAAGAATTAAAATGGCCGATACCGGTTTGGCTCAGTGGATAGAGCATTGGTCTGCGGACTGAAAGATCCCAGGTTTGATTCCGGTCAAGGGCATGTACATTGGTTGTGGGCACATCCCCAGTAGGAGGTGTGCAGGAGGCATCTGGTTGATGTTTCTCTCATCGATGTTTCTAGCTCTCTATCCCTCTCTCTTCCTCTCTGTAAAAAAAAAATCAATAAAATAGATTTAAAAAAAGAATTAAAATGGCAATAAATAAGTACCTATTGATAATAATTAAATGTAAATGGATTAAATGCTCTAGTCAAAAGACATAGGGGTAGTAGAATAAATAAGAAAACATGACCCAAATATATGCTGTCTACAAGAGACTCACCTCAGAACAAAAGACACATACAGGATGAGAGTGAAGGGATGAAAAATTTTTTTCTATGCAAATGGAAACAAAAAAACCGGGGTAGCAATAGTCATATCTGACAAAATAGACTTCAAAATGAAGGCCATAACAAAAAACAATAAAGGTCACTACATAATACTAAAGAGATCAATCCAACAAGATTATATAACATTGGTAATTATACATGCACCTAATATAAGTGCACCTAAATATATAAATAAACTTCTGGAGGAATTTAAGGAAGAGATGAACAGCTATACAGTCATAGAAGGCAGCTGTGTATTTTATGCCAAATAATGTTGGCTTTCCATTTTCAAGAGTGATGCAAAGTTTCTTATAAAAATAAATGTATCAAATGAAACAAAGTCAGTTTAAAGAAAAATATTAGTGACTGTTATAGGTTAATAATGGTAAAAGTTATATTGAGGACAAACAGGATAGCTGAAGTTTAAGAGGCAAACATTTATGCTTTGTTGTTACTAAAGTTTACTTACTGGCCTCTACACTGGTAACTTCCCATACGAGTTAACACTTCAAGGGGATGGGATAATGCTTAGCAGTCTGAGAGAATGCCAAGTAAAAACAACCATTACACATGTCTGCTGAATATAAATCTGATAGAAAATGGATCTAGTCTTTAAAATCTCTGATTACTTAAAATGCCAGGAAAAGCAAGCGAGAACATAAAGTGTGTATGTATTTCTCATTCAAAATGAACAAATAGGAGATTTTTGTTTTGTTCCCCTTTTTAAAAATTTGGTAAATCTTAAAAATAAGAACACATCTTAAAAATAAGCACCAAGGCTTTGCATGGCTGTGGAGCCCGATCTTTTAGACCTTTGTGGTGAGCCTAAGTGAAGGCAGAGAATGAAAGGCCCTTTGGTCGACTATATGTCCCTATTACTGCCCTTTTTTCTCAAGGCCCCTGACCACCTCCAAGGCAGGGCGGAAACTGTGGAACTGAGGCCGCCAGATGTGCACACTCCAGGCGGGAAGGGCCCAGCCCACCGGTTACCGAATGCCAGACATTACCAGATCTTGTCCTGAGCTACGAGGTTCATGCGCTCGGCCTCCGCGATGCTCATCGGTTTCTGCGACATGGCTCTGGCTGGGGTCTAGGTTGCCTGCACGCTGCTGGTCGGGCTCAGCGTCTTGCGTCGTCTAGGCAACCGGTTGCCGAGAAACGGGAGACGCGGAGGCGGAGCCACACCTGGCGGAGGTGGGGTCCTGGGGCTTTCACCGTCTGAGAGCCCTCTGGGGGCCTCCGCCAGCCTCTGTGCTCTTCTTCGCCCCCTCCTGCCCACCTGCCTGGACCTGCGGCAGAGGTCCCCCTGGTTCTCTGCGGAAAGCCCTGGGGAAACACCAAGACCCAACCCCCGCCTCCTTTACAATTCAGATCTGTGATGCCAGCCTGCACTCCGGCAAACCTACCATGCCTGGGTACCAGGCTCAGCCACTTCTCTCAGGGAACGAACCCCTGCAGCCACTTGGCGAACTTTGGGCCAGGCTGCCTGGGCCCCATGTCATGTTGGGGGTTTGTCCACATCGCTGTGCGGGGCTGGCAGGTGTTCACTCCCATTCATTTCCCTTCCGCTGCTGCAGGAATTGGAGTTGAGTGGCCACCACGACTATGACTATCACTGCACGGCCTCTGGAGAACGTGTGTGCATGTCTGTCCCCATCCACTCTATAGCAATCCCCAAACGGAATCCGCAGGTCATGTCTCCCCCAGACCGTGCACCGCACACTCTCTCTCATGCCCATCCACAACGACCCCTTGTCATTAGGGTGCTCAGTGGTGTTAGCGGGCTGACTCGTGGAGCCTCAAGGCTTCTACCTACCACGTTGGCATAGGCCTGGCACTGGAGAATGGGTCTAAGATTCAACAGTAAGTGGATCCATGGCAGGGGTTTGGGGAACATGGTTCTGCCTGAGCCGCCAATGAGACCTGCAGGTGTCCAGAGTCTCGTGGGACTGAAAGCAGAGGCAGCAGGCTCCGCTGGCCTGCGGGCCATCTCCCCTCAATTCCCAAGGCCGTTCTGCCGGGACGTGAAGGTTTTCATCTTCCAATTGGGCATCTGTGGTTCTCCCTGGGGTGTCTCCCTCGTTCTCTTTCTCCCACCTCCTCCCTTACCCACAGACGTGTGCCTTTACAGGGTGTTTGGGATGCGTTTTACTCTCATAACTATGTTCTCCAAACCCAAGGTACGTGATGCTGTTCTTGGCTGTCGGAGCGGCTGACTGGGGTGTTCCCAACTGCCCACTCAGCCAAAATAGTGAGGGGGTAGGCAGAGGCAGGAATGGAGCCAAGTGGGTTAATAGTGAGTGGGTTACACACCAGGCTCAGGGCTTGGCAAGTCTCAGGCTGGGCTGGATTGCCACAGGGTGGACGGGTGTGCAGGGTTTCCCCCCCCCCCCCCCCCGCCTTTTCTCTGAAGTTGCCATCCCTACAGCAGGAGGGATGATGTCCTGGAAGAACTGGGAATAGTGAGTGGCTGGCTGGGAAGAGAGGAGGATCCATCAAGCGGGAAGGCAGCCTCTGAGTCTCCCTCAGGAATCTTCTCCATCTTTTTTTTTTTTAAAAAAAAATAAAATTTTATTGTTCATATTATTACAAATGTTCCTTTTTTTTCCCCCTCCCACCATTGCTCTCCTCCACCAGGTTCCCACCCCACCCTCTGCCCTTTCCCCACCCCCCATTGTCCTTATCCATAGGTGCACAGTTTATGTTCAGTCTCTTCCCACATCCCCCTCTCCCCTTTTCCCCAAGAATCGTCAGTTCACTTCCCTTCCATATCTCTGATTCTATTATGTTCAACAGTTAATATTGTTCATCAGTTTTTTTTTTAATTTCCTTGGTTTTTAGATTCACTTGTTGATAGTTATGTATTTGTTGTTCATAATTTTTATCTTTATTTACTTTCTCTTCTGAAAGAACCCCCTTCAGCAATTCATATAATTCTGGTTGGTGTTGATGAACTCCTTTAGCTTTTTTTTTTTTTTATTAGTGAAGCTCTTTATCTGACCTTCGATTCTGAGTGATAGCTTTGCTGGATAGATTGTCTTTGGCTGTAGATTCTTACTATTCATCACCTTGAATATTTCTTGCCATTCCTGTCTGGCCTGCATGGTTTCTGTTGAGAAATCAGCTGACAATCGTATAGGTGCTCCTTTATAGGTAACTACCTTCTTTGCTCTTGCTGCTTTTAATATTCTCTCTTTGTCTTTTGCTCTTGGAATTTTACTTATGATGTGTCTTCGTGTGGTCCTCTTTGGATTCCTTTTGTTTGGAGTTCTGTGCGCTTCCTGGACTTGTACGTCTAATTCTTTCACCAGGTGAGGGAAGTTTTCTGTCACTATTTCTTTCAGTATGTTTTCAATATCTTGCTCTCTCTCATCTTCTGGGATCCCCATAATTCTGCTGTTGGTTCGCTTGAAGTTGTCCCAGAGGTTTCTTACATTATCTTCAATTTTCTGGATTCTCTTGCCTTCTAGCTTCTGTGGAGGAGTGTCTTCTGGCTCTTTATGTTCCAAATCTTTGACTTGATTCTTGCAATCTTCCATTTTGTTTTTAGGACTCTGTATAATATTTTTTTATTTCAGTCAATGTATTCTTTATTTCTTGTTGATCCCTTATCATTTCTTGTTGATTCCTTATTAATTCTAGTTGATCCCTTTTCATATCCTCATAGGTCTTATCCATCTTTTCTAGGAAATTCATGAAATACCTTATAAGCCTTAGATTTGAACTCTATATCCAGTCGCTTTTTGTCCTCCACTTCTTTCGTTTGTGATCTATTTCGTCTTGGCATTTTTGCAGCTTTCCTGAGTTAGTAGCCTTAAAAGTCTCTGTGTTCTGCTTGGATGGGGCGGGGTTTCAGGGTGGAGCCTACAGCCTTGGCTTCCGTCAGCCCCGCCCTATGCGGGTCCTTCAGTACTCATTGCAAGCACCTCTGAGAGAAAGGTGCCCTCGATTTTCGCCTGCTGCCAAACAGTCTATGCTCTCCCCCAATGATCCCAGTATTGGGGTTCAGTTCAGTTGGAAGTGGAGTTGGAGGTGGCATCAGAGCAGTCTGGAGCCCCTGTCTCCTTCCGGTCAGGGCAATCCCGCGGCACAGCCGGCCGTCCCTTCTCTGCACGCAAAGTGCGCTCCACCGGGACCTCTTTTCGCAGCTCCCCCGGGGTTCCGCCTTTCAGCCCAGCTCCCTCTGTGTGAGCCTGGGTCCCTGGGGTCTGGCCTAGAACTGGGGTTTAGAGCACTCGGAAGTGGGGCCCAGCACAGTCGGAATTTTATCTCCTTCCTGCTAGGGAACGCCAGCCAGGCACTCAGCCGCCCCGCCCCTCCTCTCTGGCTCTGTCCTCTCCGCACGCCGCGTGTCTCCATACCTTAGGCTTTTATAGCTCCCCCGCGCTTCCTTCTGGTTTTCTCCTTGCTTCTCGTTGTAGAATTTCCAGTCAGTCAACTTTCCTGTAGTTCTGGGTAATGTCCATTTTATAATTTAGTTGTATTTTATTGAAATTGTTGTGTGCGGCTGCAGCTAGGTGTTTACCTGTCAGCCATCTTGGAACCTCTCTCTTCTCCATTTTTTTTCTCTTTTCCATTTGCATGAAAGTTTTTTTCCCCATCCCTTCCCTCTCATCCTGTGTGTGTCTCTTGTTCTAAGGTGGGTGTCTTATAGATAGCATATAATTGGATCATGTTTTTGTATCCATTTAGCTACCACATGACTTTTGGTTAGAGCATTTAATCCATTTACATTTTGGGTTATTATTGACAGGTACTTATTTATTGCCATTTTAATTCTGTATGCCTAGGTTTCTCTCTCTATTTCTTCTCATTACAGCAGTCCTTTTGGCATTTCTTGGTGGTGAAGTACTCCTTTATCCTTTCTTTTTCTTTTCTTTTTCTTTTTTTTTTAATAGGTTTTTTTTAAAATATATATTTTATTGATTTTGTACAGAGAGGAAGGGAGAGAGATAGAGAGTTAGAAACATCTATGAGAGAGAGTTATCGATCAGCTGCCTCTTGCACACCCCCTACTGGAGATGTGCCCGCAACCAAGGTACATGCCCTTGACCGGAATAGAATCCGGGACCCTTTGGTCCTCAAGCCGACGCTCTATCCATTGAGCCAAACCAGTCCCGGCTAGCCTTTCTTTTTCTTCCTTTCTTTTTTTTTTTTCTTTCTTTTTTTTTTTTTTTTTTGTCTGGAAGCTCTTTATTTGACCTTCTATTTTGAATCATAGTTTTGCTAGATATAGTAATGTTGGTTTTAGATCCCTGCTCTCTATTACCTTGAGTACTTGATGCCATTCTCCTCTAGACTCTAGAGTTTCTGATGAGAAATCAGGTATCAGTCTAATGGGAGCTCCTTTGTAGGTAACAGTTTGCTTTTCTCTTGTTGCCTTTAAGATTCTCTCTTAGTCTTTAATTTTCCACATTTTAACTATGAAGTGATTGGGTGTGGGCCTGTTTGGGTTCTTCTTGCTTGGGGTTTTCTGTGCCTCCTGAACTTCTGTGAGTTTTCCCCTTACCAGGTTAAGAAAGTTTTCTTCAAACATGTTCTCTTATTCCTTTCTCCCTTCCTGCCTCTTCTGGCACACCTGCTATTCTAATATTGTTACATTTCATGTTGTCCCAAAGTTCCCTTAAGCTTCTTCCTGTTTTATTAAATTGTTCTTTCTTTTTGGTTCTCTGGTTGAGTGACTTTTTTTCAACCCTGTCTTCTAATTCACTGATTCAAACATCAGCTTCCTCTAATCTGATGTGTATTCCTTCTAATGTGTTCTTTGTGTTATGTCATTTTTTATTTCTGACTTTTTTTTTTTCATAGCTACTAGATTCTTTTTTATGCTCTTGAGTATCTTTACCATAATTTCTCTGAACTCTGTTTCAGATAAATTTCTTATCTCTGCTTCATTTATCTTTTTTGTCTAGAGAATTCTTTTATTCTTTCATTTGGGGGTTGTTTCTGTGTTTCCTCATTTTGGCTGTCTTTTTTTTGAATATGTATTAGGGAGATCCTCTATGCCTCTCAATCTCTAGGGCAGGAGAGTGCCACATTCTGTTTTTGACTTATTAGATCAGGGAAAGACTCAAA